CACATTAATTATACAAAATGCATTTTTCTAAATTAATTCAAAGCAGTACAACAAATACTTCCGTGATGTATGAATACTTTACTTTTGAGCTAATATATCATTACTTTTGTTCAGAGTGCAGTGAATGTCATGAAAATAATGTGACAAATCTTAATGGTCTAAAAATATTCTTCAGTTTCTTTAATAAAAATATAATTTCTTATTTTTATCTTTTGATTTTGGCGTGAAATACAACCTGCACTTATTCTTGACAGGTTGCATCATGGATAATGAGATTTTTTTAAAAATGAGATAAATAGTTTTAATGTACTGTGTGTACTGTGTACTGTACACACAAATTTCAGTTTTAAGTCTGGATGTCCTGTACAGAGCACATTCAGGGCTTTTCAGAGATACCAAATGATTGGATGTTTCACCATCACCACTCCTTCTCCTTGGTCTTTAAAAACGGCTGACATTAATTTAGTGATCAAGCGTAACACTCTTATGGAAATATGATAATATTTTGTAATCATTTAAATCTGACTAATTTTCAAATTGTTTGTCGCTATGAAATATTACATATTATTATGAAAATCTTGCCGATTATTACTCCCATTATTACACTTATTTTTTTCATTATATGTTGCCCCAAAAACACATTAATATGCAAATTTAAAAAATCAGGAAAAAACAGGACTTTTCTCTACAGAGGACGTAGCACAACATATGAATAAAATATCATTAAAAAAAAAAAATTGTTCACATTTTTTTTTTTACTTGTGCTCTAAACAATGTAATGACATGAACAAAAAACTAAATTCACAAAACTTTTTTCCTGGTAGTCAGGCGGCTACATAAAACTATGCAATTAGGAATTTCATGTGAAATTAATTTTAATTATATATGACTTCTGTGACCTGTGCTTCAAACATTGCTAGCCAAAAGCAATGGACCTGTTTTGCTTACAAAAAATTAGCTGAAATTTTGCTAATGTGACTGCGCTTATAAACAGCATTTTCAAACATGATCACAACCAAAACACAATGACATTTGCCCTTGTAAATTGAAAAAAGGTCAATCATAACAGAAGTTATTTACATATAGAAGTCTTAAAGTTACCACAGCAAAAAAAAAAAAGTTTTTTCAACCAAACTTTATTCTGATATCCATTTTCTTGCTTCAAGATAAAACTGAAGAAATGCAAAGGATATTGAAGAGATATTTTGAGGACAAATTCCAAACAGAGCAAAATGTTTCAGCCTGACAACTGATTTTCAAACACTCACCTGTACTGATGAATGTCCTCAAAGGACTTGGTGTTATTGATGGCAAACACACAGAGGAAGCCCTCTCCTGTCCTCATGTACTGGTCCCTCATGGCGCTGTACTCCTCCTGACCTGCAGTGTCCAAGATGTCCAGGAGACACGTCTCCCCGTCAATCACCACCTGCTTCCTGTAGGAGTCCTGCAGACAAATCAACACCAAACTCAAGCCTGCCTTCATTTTCATTAACCATTTCTTGTTTATTTCTTACTCAGTAGCCAATTAGCTTCAGTTATTTCACACACATGGACATGATTTGATGTCTTTAAAATGTCTTTCTTTTTTATTCTTTTTTTAAATGTGCCAAATTAAGGACTTTGAGGACAAAGTGACAGGGACTGAAACAGTAAACAGACAGTGGAGATGGTTGAGTTGTGTCCTGTCAGACACATGTGTGTTAGCACACAGCGATTGAGCCATAAAAAGGACATTGTTTGTCCAGAGACGGGCGTGGCGGGAAAAGAGGACAGAGAGAGCGAGGGACGTGTAGAAGCACGTACACACACACACACACACACACACACATCCCTCACACTGAGAGCAAAAGCAGGCAGAGGGGAAACTCCTGCGGTTTAGTTGACACTGAGTGTGCGGAGAAACACACAGACTGAATCTGTGAATGGTAGGGCTGGAGTTTATCTATTGCCCAGTGATGTTGTGAGATATAGTGAAGAGACGGACCACTGGTCAGTTTAGTAAAGCATAACGTACAGTACAAGAAAGCTAAGGATGTACCAGAATCAAATAGAAACAAAAGGTTCCATTAGTTAAAGGGTTAGTTCACCCCAGAATGAAAATTCTGTCATTAATTACTCACCCTCATGTTGTTCCAAACCCGTAAGACCTTCGTTCATCTTCGGAACACAATGTAAGATATTTTTGATCAAATCCGAGAGCTCTCTGACCCTCCATAGACAGCAAGGATCCTTACACGAGGAGGCTCAGAAACGTAGCAAGGAGATCGATAAAATAATCCATGTGACATCAGGGGTTCAACTGTAATTTTACAAAGCTACGAGAATACTTTTTGTGCACAAAGAAAACAAAAATAACAACTTTATTCAACAATTCGTTGCGCCCTATAGCGCCATTTTGGAGAGTATGCATCGTATGTACGCGGATACGTTGTTTTCGTTCAGATCAAAGCGTCAACAACGTATCCGCATACATATGATGCATACGTCGTTTATGTTCAGTGGATACTCTCCAAAATGGCGCTGGATCCTTGCTGTCTATATGGAGGGTCAGAGAGCTCTTGTACTTCATCAAAAATATCTTAAATTGTGTTCCGAAGATGAACGAAGGTCTTTCGGGTTTGGAACGACATGAGGGTGAGTAATTAATGACAGATTTTTTTAACTTTATGAATCAATTTTTCGATTAATCGTTTTTTTTAAAAATGACGTCGATTCGATATCGATTCTCAAAAGCCGCGAATCGATCTTTTCCGGGATTTATTTCAGCACACATTTAAAATAAGATCTGATTAACGTGAATCTTATCATTAGTCTTCTCCACTAGATGTCACCCTTATTTACCTTGCGCGATGTTACATCAGAAAGCCTGTCATTCATTCAGCGCTTATCATGGCCATACGCTTGATTCGCAATGCTCAGGTGAAATGCTATAGTAATACTATAAATCTGCGGAAGAATTTGACATCACGCATAAGGCGCCATGATTTCCGCAATGAATGAATGGCGGATGGTGCGGCGCACTGTTTTGTTTACTACACACATACTAAAGCGCGGATGACGCTCGAGGTATTTTCAGCTTCTGCCGTCTCTCTATATGACGATATGAACACACAAATATCATCTCCAGCTGCTCTGAGAGTCACTTCATTAGCATTTTACCGTTTCATTTGAGAAAACTACCGTCATATCACATACACAGCAGCTGCAAGTTCTTCACGGCAACCCGTCAAAATAAAAATTCAGTTTAACGTGAAGAAACTGTGACAGAAATATATTATTATATAGCAGTCTGAAGACTCAATGCTACTACTGCTAATAAATATTAATAAATCTTTATTTTTAAAGGAATAATCACATCTGTTTTCTTTTTAATTTTAACAGTAAACCACAGGCATGTGGTTCTTAATTTCTTTTTATGAATTCACCATTTGTAATCTGATGTTTACTGTTAATGTTTTAGCACTTGTAATGTATTAAAAACTATATTCACTGAATGTAATCAAAAAATCGGTAATTGAATCGAATCGAGAGCTTGCGAATCGAATCGGGACATCTGAATCGATACCCAGCCCTATGAGTTAATTCACATAAAGGGATAGTTCACCTAAAAATGAAAAGCTGCCGAAAATTTACTCAATTTACTAAATATTTAGCTATTTTTTTAACATTAAGATCAATGAGCAATAATTTTTTTTTTTACAGTATTTATAAATTAAATTCTTTGTTAATGTTAGTTAAAACAAATACAGCTGTTCACTGTTAGTTCATATTAGCTCAGGTCCATTAAATAATATAAACAGATATTTGAAAACTGTTGAAAAAGTTAAAATTAAGATTAGTGGTATTCGTTGTTAGTTTGTAGAACTAATGTAATTAAAGGGGTCATATGATGCGATTTCAAGTTTTCCTTTCTCTTTGGAGTGTTACAAGCTGATTGTGCATAGATAAGATCCCTGAAGTTGCAAAGACTAAAGTCTCAAAACCAAAGAGATATTCTTTATCAAAGTTAAGACTCTGCCACACACCCCTAAAACGGCTCGTTCTAACACGCCCCCACATATCTACCTCACTATGTGGAAATATTTGCATAATGCGCCCAAATGTGCACGCAAAGAAAGAAGGCGTGGTTTCAGTAACCGCAGTTAGTGTTGAAGCAGCGATGTCAGGGAGACGCTGTGTGTTTCTAGGCGAAAGCAAAAGCACTTTATTTGGCCTTCCGAAAGTAGATGCATTTAGGAATCTTTAAGATTTGAGAGAGGCGGGGCATAGAGGACCTACAATAATGTACAGTATTTGAAAAATAATGTGTTTTTTGAACATTAAAGCATGTCAACATATTCTGTTACACCAAATACACAAAATAATGATCTTTAAAAAAGCATCATATGACCCCTTTAAGTAATGGTAATGTATGAAACCCTATTTGTAAAGAGTTACCGAATTTTTACAGCCCTACGAGAAAGCATGATATACTGTGGATTAGGGATGTCACAATGACGATAACCATGATATTTAAAAAGTGAAATATTGATGTTAATATTGCACATACAAAAACAATCGTATGATTATCCGCAATAATCCAGTGCCAGTAACTGGTTGACACTCCAACACAGTAGGTGGCAGTATTGCACCTTAACACTGACTGCCATCAGTCATGAAATGGAAAAAAGACGATGACGACACAATGTGTAGCTAATAATCTAATACAATAATGCAGCTACAATAAAAAGATATTTCATAGAACATGGGGTCAAAACAACATTGGGTCATAACTCCTATTGCATGGACAAAATACTGTAACTATCTGCAACAGCATTGCTGACCTTTATAATGATATATGACAGAGCACTATACTATTGTATGATGTTGTTACAGTTCCTAATTATCATTAGTATGATCATATTTCATGAATTATAAAATTACTGTCAAATAGAAATTGGCAAATAAATCAGTTATAACTGTCTAACAGCTGCAGTTGATAGGGTAAAAACACAAAAAGTACAGTTATTGATTATGTATTGATATCAACCACAATGCCCTGATGATATTTTATATATAGCTGATACCGTATATATTACTGGATAAGATCACTCAATACACACACACACACACACACACACACACACACACACACACACACACACACACACACAGTGATATCTC